AGAGAATAAGCCCAAGAGTTGGAGGCTGCTGTGAGCTGTGACGCCACAGCACTCTACCTAGGGCAATAAAATGAGACTGTCTGTACAAAAAAATAAAAATTTAAATTTAAAAAACCTGCTGATTTTTCATAAAACCCTTGAGTCTCAACATCAGATTTCTCCTAAATGAATAACAGACCAAAAGTGCTTTCCTAAACCTCATTTGAATTTGCAAGGAGAACCAATACATTTGTATGCATAAGAAGCTCAGTATTACCCCACACTATATTTTGTTATCACCTTACTGAACAAAATCCCGACTTTCCGCAACATTTACATAGCATCCTGTCAGTGGGCGGAGCTGAGTTCTTTTCTTACAGACGCAGGTTCTGCAAGCTTCTGGAGCCCCTTAGAATCAGAGTGAGTAGGTGTCCTAGTCAGGTGGGTGGCTAAACAACCTTTATTTCTCACTTGCTGGAAGGGGAGAAGTTTGAAATTGAGATAGCATATTAGGTATGTGATAATGACCCTCTTCCTGGTTCGCAAATGGTTAACTTCTTTGTATATTCTCAGTCTGTGGAAGAGGGAGAGCGTATCTTTTGTGCCTCTTCTTTTTTTTTTTTTGGTGGTTTGGGTCCGGCCAGGCTTGAACCTGCCACACCCGGTATGTGGGGCTGGCGCTCTGCTCCTTGAGTCACAGGCGCCACCCTGTGCCTCTTCTTATAAGAGCGTTAATCCTATTTACTAGGATTCCATCCTCATGACCTAATTTTCTTCAAAGTTCCTTCTCCAAATGCCATCACCTTGGGGATCAGGGCTTCAACATATGAATTTGGGGAGCATAAACGTACAGCCCTGTTTCGTGAAAGGTTGTATGTGCAAAGTAATCCCCAAATGCAGCAGCAGCTGAGAAACTAAAGAATAAGGCAGACAAATCCAGTCTGATTACAGAGGCTGATTTCTGGGGGAACTTAGAAGCAGAAGCGTGGTGTTCCACAGGAGCAAGACAAACCTGCTCTGGTGGCCGGGCCACATACTATAGGAAAAGGGAGTGCCTGCTCTATAAGGGATGTGAAGGACAATTAAAGTTGGCCTTCCAGGAAAAGACAAGAATGCTATGTACAACACAACTTGGTGAGCTCCTCCCTCTAAGAAAAATAAAAAATAAATTAAAATAAAAAGTAGTAGCTTAACTTCTTGGTCAATGAGTATTTGAAAGATCAACTACCTAAAATGAAAACTATTGCTTTTGCTGTACTCTGTCAAATGTAACAGGGCCTGATGGGCTTTAACATTCTCTGGTTTGGTAACTATACGAGATGAGTCCATTTATTTTATTTAATAATTTTGAGTTTCTATTTCACATCTAAGTCATCTGGGAAGGCCCTTTAGATATGGCCCTATGAAAAAGAAAACATTCCCAGGAAATGTATAAGGTATAATGTTAAACTGTTTAGAAAGCAGAAACAGAAGTGTATATAACATGTGTGACAACGTTAAAATACACAGAATATAGGGACAGAGAATCAAGGAACTTATCCAAATAAGTTTGCCACTGGAATGCAGCATTTCAAATTGGTAGAGAAAAGATGAATTTTTAATGGTATTGAAACATCTAGCTACCCATTTGGGGGAATAGGTGGACCTACATGTGGTTCTTAAAATAGTCCATATAGGTCAAAGATTAAAATGTAAAAAATAAATCACAAAGCATTAGAAGAAAATGAAAGTCATTTAAATCTTGGATTAAGCAAGTATGTTTGCTTAAACAAGATACCAAAAGCCAAAAGTCATGAAGACAAGGATTGATTATTAATTACAAATAAACTAAAAACACTATGGGAAAAAGTAATAAATAAAACCAAAAGATAAAAGACCAACCTGGAAAATATATTTGCATCATGTTTGACAAAGGTCTAATTTATATAATATATATTAGGGATAATTTAACATGTATTTACTATATAAAGACAGAACTAATTTATTTATTATAAAGACTTCTTCCAAATAAAAAATAAAAATTGTCCCCCAAATTGAATGAAGAGTAAATACAGGCAAAAACTCTGACAGAGAAATACAAATGACTGATAAACAATCACCCTCCTTTAAAATAATGGAAGTTGGCTCAGTGCCTATAGCTCAACCGGCTAAGGCGCCAGCCACATACACCTAAGGTGGCAGGTTTGAATCCCCAGCCTGGACCCACCAAACAACAATGACGGCAGCAACCAAAAAATAGCCGGGCGTTGTGGCGGGCGCCTGTAGTCCCAGCTACTTGGGAGGTGGAGGCAGGAGACTCGCTTGAGCCCAGGAGTTGGAGGTTGCTGTGAGCTGTAATGCCATGGCACTCTACCCAGGGGAACAGCTTGAGGCTCTGTCTCAAAAATAAAATAAAATAAATAATAAAAAAAAATAAAATAATGGAAGTTAAAAGCAATGAGGTTCACTATTGTACTTGACTAATCTTAAAACAAAAAATATAAATAAAAACAATGAAATAACATTTCTTACCTCTCAGTTTGGCAAAGATAACAAAATTGAATGATGTATAACTTCTTTGGAAGGAAATTTTCCAGTAGCTCTCAAAATTTAAAACTACCTTTGGACCCATCAATTCTGCTAGGGATTTCTCTTATGGATAAATTGATACATATAAAAAATAGATATTTCAAGCATATTCATTTTAGCATTTTATTTTATTTTTTAATTTTTTTTTTTGAGACAGTCTCACTTTGTCTTCCTGGGTAGAGTGCTATGGTGTCACAGCTCACAGCAACCTCAAACTCGGGCTCAAGTGATTCTCTTGCCTTAGTCTCCCAAGTAGCTGGGACTACTGGCACCCATCACAATACCAGGCTAATTTTTTTCTTTTTCTATTTTTAGTAAAGATGGTGTCTCGCCCTTGCTCAGGCTGGCCTGAAGCTCCTGAGCTCAAGTAATCCACCTGTCTCTGCCTCTCAGAGTACTAGGTTTACAGATATGAGCCACTATACCTGGCCCCATTTTAGCATTTTAAGTAACAAAGAAAGGAGTCTAAAAATAATGTAAATGTTTATCAAAATGAGGTGGTTAAGTAAATAATGGAATACAATGAAGCCAATACAAAAGATGAGGGAGATAGATTCTGATTTAGAAGGATATCCACAGCATATAAGTGGGGAAAAGTATAGATGATGAATATATTATGCTCCTCTTTCTTCACAATACAACACTTTTTTTTTTTTTTTAGAGACAGAGTCTTACTTTACTGCCCTTGGTGGAGTGCTGTGGTGTCACAGCTCACAGCAACCTCCAACTCCTGGGCTTAGGCAATTCTTTTGCCTCAGCCTCCCGAGTAGCTGGGACTACAGGTGCCAGCCACAACACCTGGCTACTTTTTGTTGCAGTTTGACCAGGGCCGGGTTTGAACCCTCCACCCTTGGTATACAGGGCGGCGCCCTACTCACTGAGCCACAGGTGCTGCCCCAACACTTACTTCTTAAAGGGTAAGCAAGTTGCAGGTACACTGAACGAACAGGACTTTAAGTGCGTAATCAATTTTACTTTTTGCTCCACTATCCCGTTATGTCTGAAGTTCAGTAGGCTGTTTCTCTTCTGTCCTGTCCCTGGAGTTTTCTGCTGACTTGTAGGTAACAAGGAACGAAAGTTTGCCAGACTCTATAGGTTGCAAATCCAGTCTCAGTTTGCAGCCAGTCTCAGCTATTCCTCAAAACTCCCAGCTTGACTGAATGTTAAATTTGATTCCCTTCCAGCCACACCACTGTGGGGGCACCTTGTAGCTGTCTTTCTTTTCTCTTTCCTTGCCTTATGTTTCCACTCCTCATGTTCCATCTTGCTATTAATTGTGATTTCTGAACCAGCTTTGGTCAAACCAAGAGATGAGAGAGGAGTGACAAAAGGAATAGGATTTTTGTCACCTACCTGATACAGTCCTGAGAGGGGGTTTCTTGCTGCCAGGACCTGATGATGTTTTGAGCTTCCCTTTTTCCCTCCTAGCAGAATTTGTGGGTCCCCTAGAATCCTCCTCTCCCTGGTGTACCCTAGAAGTCATCAGCTGCAGGACACTTTCTTCCAGCCACACTTCCCTGTCAGCCTCTCCAGACAGCAGACTGTCTCTGTTGGTGTCTCACTGTACTGTCCTTCTTTGGGCAGGATTTAAGATGAGTCTAGGCTGTTTTTCTTTCCCATGTGGTTCATACCTGATGTGTGGAAATCGGCACACCGGAACTTCATGGCCTGGGAGAAAGCTGGTGGGGGTTACGTGTGGTGAGAGAACAGAGGGACAGAGAAGGCTACAGAGGAGCCAGTTACATAAAGGGAGACTGGGGAAGTAGACAGGGGAAGCACTCAAAATGTGTAAGTCCTTGAGAATCCAAGCCGAGTCTGGAGCACAGTTCCATTCTAACAAGTTCACGGAAGACCCTTGTAAACATTTGTTGAGATTTCTGTTTTTAATTTTCCACATAGTTCTTATACTGAGAACTGCATGGTCCAGCTGGGGACACAAACACACATACACACATCGATACATCACAACACAATGAGAAGGTGTGAAAAGAAATAGAATCAATGAGTCACCTTGGAGGAGAAGCAGGAAGGGCTGCAGCGGAGGTGTCATTTGGAGATAGCTGGTGAGGAGCAGCTGCTGATTGAACTAACTGAGATGGAAGAGCTGTCTGATCAGATGACTAAGAATAAGCAGGCCAGAGGAGATGTGAGCAAGAGAGAGGGGCAGGCAAGAAGGAGACAGGGCCTGCGTGGGGGACCCAGGGCCGGATTCTGATGCCAGGAGGCAGAACCAGTGTGTCACCTCCTTCCCTTCCTGAAGACCAAGTTCCTTTAAGGTGAGACTAGATAAAAAGGGCCCTCCCTTGGCTGTTTTCACAGCAGCTCTTTTATGGAAGGTAAGAGTGGGCATTGCTCAAATTTGAACTTCACTGTCCAGAAGTTTTACAAGGCAAACTTTCCAGGGGAAGTCCCTAAAATCTCCTGGACTTCTTGCTTCCTTCCCGTAGGACAGGCTGTCGAAACTGCAGGGCATAAAAGGCTCAGAACACATACACCCTGGGGAAAGCCGGCCAGGGACGTGGGAGCAACAACCATGCACCAGACTTCTCTCTGGGCAGGTGAGTAGGGGCGTGTGCAGGGACTAATTCAGCCTGTTAGTTGGTGAGGGGCAAGCAGCAATGCAGGAAAATCTTACTCCCTTCCTGGGACTTCAATCTCTGTGTTCACCTCAGTTTCCAAAAATATCAAGCTAATGCAACTCTCCATTTGATCTTTCCTACATGGGAAGAAAGCAGCAGTGGCCACAGTCCTCCTGAGAGCAGAGAGCTGCTTCTTACCCTCAATAGAATTAGGGCTCAAGAAGGGAAGGAGACCAGGCTTTCTTGGTTTCTTGATGTACAGACTCATATTGGGAGTCACACCTTTAAGGGACTATGATTTGTGGAAAATTTTAGAACTGTTAGGGGGCCCACATTCTCATCTGCAGAATGGCGCATGGGATTAAATGTTTTCTAAACTCCCTCTTTCAGCTCCAAGGCTCTGATCCCAAACTCTGGCTTTTTGTGGTGGCTGGGAAATTGGATGAGGGTGGGAACTGGAGCAGGGCTATGGGTAAACAAGGGAGGTTTCCCAGGAGGGGAGGGGAGATGTCTGATGGAGGAAAGAAGCCATCTTATTGTGTCATCTGCACTTCTTTCACTCTGTCTTATACTCTCAAGCCACATGTGTCCTACTTGGGAAGAGCCTTTTAAGTTGCCTGTTGAAGTTTGCAGCCCGGCCCCCTGGGAGGGTGACCTATGGAGACCCCACTCCTTGGAGAAAGGCCTGGAGGCTGACCCATGTGGCAATCAGAATTTCTCTGAGTACTCAGTGAGTGTGTGGAGGACCAGCTTCCTGCCTACCCTGCCTTCTGCCTAAAAAAACACGTGAATCACCAGCAGGGAACAGCAGAGCCTGCTTCCCAGCTCTGGGCTCTGCAAGGGAGGCACTGGATCCAGCAGCTGTGTCTCCTAAGCTTTCTTTCCTCCTTAACTGCCCTTTTCTCCATTTTTAGACCCTCAAGACAATGTCTCCATGTTGAGGGGGGACCACAGCTCAAAGAGTCTTGTTCATGGAGTGAAGTTTTGGGGACCCAGGGGCCTGCTCTTTCCTTCCCTATAGGAAGATGGATTAAAGAGAGAATAATCTCTCCAGTTCTAGGAGAAGTATCCTGTGGAGACGACCCTGGGAATGACCTCAAATGGGGAGGCTTAGGCCTCTGCAGAGCCAGCTCATGCTTCTCAGTTCACCTCACCTTGTTTTAAGAATTAGGGGCTTCCACATGGGGTGACCATTTATTTCAATTTGCCCAAGACAGGTCTTATCCTGGCTATAGTCCCAGGGAAATTACTAATAATGCTCCTTTCACTCTCTAAAGGGTCTCATTGGAAAATAAACTATACAATCACCCTATCTATATTCAACTCCAGACTAGACTATGAGCTCCTTGAGTGCAGGGAAATCATCACCTTCATTTTGGTTTCCTCAGTAACTTGGACAACACATGGCAAAGAGCAGGGGATTTAATGAAACTGTTGCATAAATGAATGAGGAAATGAATGCTCAGTTTGGAAAATGTTTCTGCCTAGGGCTGGAGGGACCCCATGCCACTTTAGGACTGGGAACCTTACGCCCTAAAAAGGCACACTGCAGCAGCTTTGGGCAGAGATCCCAGAAGTGTGTACGCAGGCATGCCCATGTGCTCACTGCTGTCATCTGAGACAGAAAAACCAGACTTGGCACAACAGATTTCTCTTTCCACCCGTCTGTTGCAGGTTTAGCGGTCTTGCTGCTTCTCCAAGGAGGTAAGCAGTCAACGTGTCACTACTGGCTGGGTCTCCTGAGCTGGCTCCTTACATTTCCGGTGTTTGGTTTCTGTCTCTGTTATAAGTACAGTCTCTTCATTATTCTCCTAAATTCTGCACCTAACATATTAATGACTCCTAGTTTTCATTCTGTGCATCTCTTTGTGAATTCCTTGTTCTAGTTCTGTCTTTTTGAGTCCCTCTCTAGTTCTGTCTTTTTGAGCCCCTTTGAACATACACACACACCACACATACAGAACATCTGCATCTCCTGTTTCTCTGCTGACCTGTGTCATCCATCCATTCATACACATTGAATCTCAGTGCTCTGTGGGTGGTTCACTGTCTCTGTCTTAATGTATTTCTTAACTGAGGTCTGAGTACTCAAGAGTCAGCATAAGAGCCCAGGCTGAATGACCCTCAGAGGCTCTGGCTGAACGAGCAAAGAATGCAATGTCTGTCTTGGGGAGAAACTTGTGACTTTCTGGGCTCTAAGGCAACAGCATGAAGGCCTCATGGGCTTTCTTCATTCTACTTCAGGATCTGCCTACAAACTGGTTTGCTATTTCACCAACTGGTCCCAGGAGCGGCAGGAACCAGGAAAATTCACCCCTGAGAATATTGACCCCTTCCTGTGTTCTCACCTCATCTACTCATTTGCCAGCATCAGTAACAACAAGATCATCATCAAAGACAAGAACGCTGCTGTTCTCTATCAGACCATCAACAGTGTCAAAGCCAAGTCAGTAGACAGGGGGTGAAAGCACCCTGGTGGGCCTAGGGGAGGGAAGGCAGTCTTAACTGGACACAAACCCTACTGTCTTATTCATTCCTTCATTCATATATACTTCTTTGGGTATAATTGTGATTAACTGTTCTTCTCACCAGTATCTGGTCCCTTCACTGGACTTATTCTCTAAGAAACTGGTCCCTTCTTGTCCATTTTCCTGACATCAGAAACATCAAAGGTTTCCCCAGAAAAGAAATAACAAGCTTGTTCTTCCACTCCAGGAATCCCAAACTGAAAGTTCTCTTGTCCATTGGAGGGTACCTGTTTGGGTCCAAAGGGTAAGACCACATCTCTATTGTTTTCTTTTGTTGTTGTTTATTCATTTTTGTTTTTGTTTTGGCCAACAAGATTGTCATTCTAGCACATCTATTTTTTGCTGTATGATTTCTGATCATTGCCACTTTTCCTCCTTCTGAGAAGAAAGATTGAACTAGACATTAGGCAAGACTGATCTGAATTTGTCCCAAGTAGAGGCGTAGCACGAGGTTTTCTGGTGTCTTTAAAGGAATTCTTCAGGAATTTAACACAAGCTTAAACACTTCAGGCCTGCAAAAACTGAGCCATGAACAATATTCAGTAAATTCTTAATTATTTATCTGAATACCTTTCACTTTACAGATTATGGGGAGATGATTTTAGTTCAGAGGTGCAATTTTTTTTAAATCACTTGAAAGTTTGAAATAAACTTGGGTGGGTTATTTCTACTTAAAACTCCAATGCTGGCCTGCAACAGTCAATGGACTGCAATGTCCAGCATCATGGCTGTGCAGCCAGATGGCCCAAGAACAAGGAGAACAGCAGAGGACACTCAATCAGGTCTGCTCTGCTTAAAAACAAAATAGCTATTGATACGAGGCATACATTATAAATTATATTTTCTGTTTGCATGAAAAGAATATCCCATTTACATCAAGAGCCAACTAAATACAAATATGCAAGGATGAATGATACACTTTTAAAACTTTAATTACAGTTAATCTAATTTTGAATTTCTTCTGGTTTAAAGTGCTAACATTTTTAGCAGTTCAGAGGTCTTAAGCTCCACCATCAGGGTTTCTCAGTTTTCGCAGAAGTCTGATAGTACACCCTTCTCATGCAGCTTGTCAGTTCTTAGTTATGGCTGGAGGTGGCACAGGAAAGAAGTAGGTGTAGCAGACCTATGTAGATTTCTGCACACACAAAGAAGGAAGAGAGATCAGGCTACCTAACTATTTGGTTCCATGTTAACCCCATCATGAACAATTATGAATGGGTTTCCATGGCAACTATTCTTCTTAATTCTCAAATTCTCCTTCCAAACCCTTGCTTAAGTTTTGATTCAAATAACAATGTCTTCATTCATGCATACATACAAATGCATGCATGTCTTACATGCATGCACCCATTCACTCAATTAAACAACTGAACGTGCACCTATTGTGTACCAGCGTAGTGATTAAAAGTAGGGCTTTGGGGAAGTGCCTGTGGCTCAGAGGAGTAAGGCCCGGGCCCAATATGCTGGAGGTGGTGAGTTCAAACCCACCCCCAGCCCAAAAAAAACTGCAAAAACAAGCAAACAAAAGTAGGGCTTTGGAGATAAATACATTTGGTGTGGATTTCCCTTCACACATCTGAAACCTTAGTGATTTCAGGAAAGTCATTTAATGTCTGTAAGCCTCAGAGTTTTTTTTAAAAACTATACAGTGAGAATAATAACAGAATCTACCCCAGGGTGATGTGGTAAGAAGAGGTAATATAAGCAAACTACTTAGCACAGCGCCGATGTGCAGTAAGGGCTCAAAGGTACAAAAATCATTCTTATATTATTATTGTTATTATTACTAGGTAAATACCAGGCTTTGTGCCAGGTGCTGTGTAGAATACTGAAATATGTGTAACACACAGTCTTGCTTCTAAGAGGCAAATTCTTACAGTATTATTATAGTACATTTGTATTGAATGGACGTCTTTCCTAAAACAGGAGGCATCTGCCCAGAGACTCGGGTGCAACAGCTCTCTAATTATTGTAATTACATTGAAATGCAAGAGAAAATCTAGAAATCTATATTCACCATGGTTTTCTGATACTGGGTCAATTTCTTGTTACCTCCTACACTATGGAGCTGAGATACATACAAGAACCCAAATCTCAATTTAATAGTGACCGAAACAAAATGAATTCAAGACTCTTAAGTATGTTTGGGGTGGGAAATGTTGTGAAAGGTAGGATGTGGCACAACTCAAAGGCTATGTCCCCAGGAAAATACCAATTTCTCATCTACAGCTTCAAATTTTAAATGCTGTTGGAACCCTTTGTATGAGCAACTGAGAATCAGCTTCTTAGAATGGCTTAAGAATTCTAGTGCAGGTGAAAACCCCTGAGGAGCTTCTGCTTTCAAGAGGTGGGAAGAGCTGGGTGCCCATTTGTGACTAGGTTGCTTGTATGAGGACCATGAAGTCGCTGGATCTAGCTGTTTTTATGGAGCTTTCCTAAGTGTGATCACTTGGAGGCACATGAAGCAGGATTGACATCTTCAATCTCAACTTAGAGGGGGGCCAGACCAGAGCCCAGAGAACTGGTTAATGACAAAGTGACCACCAGAAAGGACTCTGACCTAGGGCTCTAACCCAGATCTCTTACCATCACTATGCCCACCACACTGGACACTATTTTTCTAAGGGTGTGAAATGTTAAAGAAAACCAAAGCTGGACAATATTTACAGCAGTAAAAGGAGATTTTATTCAGGAACTATTTCAATATGGGAAAAGACACCTCAGCATGGTACTGGGTTCATTTCCAAATGCAGCAAAGGCATTGGGGACATATAGGCACATGGGAATATATAGCCAACCAACAGATTGGGAAATTGGGGGGCTGTATTACTAAGAGGAAGCATTAGGGGTAGGGAGATTCTTGCTAAACTTACTCAACAGGATTCTTGATAAATGCTGGACAGAATGGCCAGTTAACACCTGGGGTGATGGGGAGTAAAGAATTTGATAAGATACTGAGAGTGATCAGATACCAAGGGTAGGCAGGTTGCTAAACTGACAGTGGGATTCTTGTTAAAATTAGACTTTGCAAAGATGAAGCAAGGTCAAAGTCTAGATAAAAAGAAGGCTCAGCAGAGCCCATCAAAAGTTTGGCCAAGGCAAGAATCTTTGTCAAAGGAGGCTCCATCATACCAAGGGAAGTCTACAGAGACCCCAATCTTTTTTACCTGCTTTCATCAATTTTCTGGCCCAACAATCCTTCTTCCCATGTGCTTCAAAAAGGGCCAGGGATTAGGATAGACAGTGAGCAACTATTAGGGAGGGGAAGACTACTTCAAGATTTCTCTGAAAAATGTGTGGTTTATGGATATTGTTTGTTCTTTCCGAAAAAACACTGTTATTGCTTCTTCCTAGGTTCCATCCTATGGTTGATTCTTCAGCGTCACGCTTGGAATTTATTAACTCTGTACTCCTGTTTCTGAGGAACCATAACTTTGATGGGCTGGATGTAAGCTGGATCTACCCAGATCGGAAAGAAAATCCTCAATTCACTGTGCTGATTCATGTAAGCCAGACTATGATAGATGTATATTCTATGCCTCTAACACACAGAACCTACAGCCATACCAGAAGAGTGAAAGGGAGAGATTGAGTCTGCTTGAAAGACACAGCCCCTGCCTTTCAGATGCCCCCAGTGAGGGGGAACAGTCCCTGTTCTTAGTTTAGGGCAGAACAACATCAAACAATGGAGACCTCTTGCATAATGAACACCACCAAAATAAAACAACATCGGTACAATAAAGTATGGGCCATAGAATTTCCTGGGTACTGAGATTGTCTCATAGATCAAGTGGAACAAAAAGTCTATCTGGAAGGAACACAGGTAGTTTTTTCCTGGGTACAGTTAGCCTGCCTAATGTGGAGGCTTCCAGAACAGAGAAAGGCATAAAGCATCCCCATGTGGGAGGGAGAGGAAAGAGTTGATCTCTGCCACCTAATGTGGTTCTAGAAACTTCATAGATCCCAGGCTAGAAGCTTAGCACTGTACTCTGGGAAGGGGAATCTGACATCTTGTTTCCTTGTTTTTCACAGGAGTTAGCAGAAGCCTTTCAGAAGGAGGTCATAAACTCCAGCAAAGAAAGGCTTCTCTTAACTGCAGGTGTATCTGCAGGGAGGCAGATGATTGATAACAGCTATCAGATTGAGAAACTGGCAAAGTGAGTACTTCAGAGCACCTCTTCCTTCCCTCTGCTTCCCACCCACTCCATGCAAATGATATGTGTCAATATGTCTGAGGGATGAAGGGAAGTGGGAAGGAGGCCCACTAACCCTGAACCACTCAGCCAGGAACAAGTTTTTCACAGGGATGTTTAATCCTCCTAACAGCATTCAAAGCCCAGAACAATTACTGATAGTTGTTTCAACCATTGCTCATCATGGAATCGTTTCCTTTGCTTTTGGCACTTTAGAGAACTGGACTTCATCAACCTCTTGTCCTTTGACTTCCATGGGCCTTGGGAAAAGCCCCTTGTCACTGGCCACAACAGCCCTCTAAGAAAGGGACAGCAGGACAGAAGGTCAAGCTCTTACTACAATGTGGTAAGTGGTGCAGGGAAAGTGCAGAGCACTGGTAGGGGAGAGGCTGGGGAGAGTCCACCACTGATAGAGTTACTTCTGTCTTGTCCTGGGGAAGAGCTATGTACCCAAGAAGGACTCTGGCAATCCTGGGGACTAGTGAGTATAGGGGAAATGCTTTGACTAGGCACTAAGAAAATAGTACCTGGAAAACATCAGAAAACCTGGTAGTTGCCATGCCCTGGGTATCCCCAATCCCAGATTTCTCTGGAGTCTCTATCCTCCATACATTTCTTAGCACCCACACAGGTGTACAGAACTTGTACCTTCCTGCATCCATATTCCTTATCAAATAGATCTTCAAAATAACCCCATTAGATTGTCTGGGCAAAAAGCATCATTTCATTTCACAGAAGATGAAGCAAGTGGGGCAGATTCCATGACTGCTCAAGGTCATGTGATGTGAAGGTCCTGAAAAGGTGGTGAGAAATGGAAAGTCCAAGAAAAAAACAATATTGTTGGTGTTGTTCTGATACATGTATATGAATGTGAATTCCTAAAATTTGGGGAGAAAAAGTATTGTCTGCATTGCTGGTTTCTAGGCCTTCACACTTGAAGTTGCAAAACTAGATAGTTCAAAGCTAAATTTCCTGATTTCTAGTTTGGGGTTTTCTTGGACTCCACATGACTGAGTTATAACAGCTGCCCTTATACTTTTGTTTTGTAGGATTTCTGTAAAGATGAGGAGATATATCCTCATCTTCTCCAACATCCTATTTTGTTCTGGAAGGCAGAAAGGCCAAAGCTGGCCTCTTAACCTCCCAATCTGTCCCATTGGGTCCAAGGTCATTGTAAAGCCTCCCAGTCTGACAGTCACTTTTGTCAGTAAGCACAATTAGCCATAGCATAGACAAATTCCATAGGCAATTGATTCAAAGGAGAAAGATAACTTTGATTTCATGTTTCTTAGGTCCCTTGCCTTATTTGTTTTGTGATCCATTATCTATCTCTTTCCCAAATTAGAAAAAGCTAAATGAGTCTAAAAACCATTAAGCACATTAGAACAAACACCTGGGTCCCAGTAGGACTGTTCACACTCAGACATAGAAAAGAAATCAAGAGGTCACCTCTGTGCAGATGGAGGCTAAAAAAAGGCTAGACACCTTTCTTTCCTCCTGCCCTAGGCCTCACTCTATCTTCCCTCTGTAGGAGTATGCTGTGGGATATTGGATACATAAAGGAATGCCCCAGGAGAAGGTGGTCATGGGCATCCCCATGTATGGACACTCCTTCACACTGGCCTCTGCAGAATCTGCTGTGGGGGCCCCTGCATCTGGTCCTGGAGCTGCTGGATCCATCACCAAGTCTCCAGGCTTCCTGGCCTATTATGAGGTACCTGGGACTTCCCTGTGCCCTCAGCTGCCTGGCTTGTCTAGGTAGAGGTTTCATCTTCCATCTGGCAATGGTAGAGTGTATTGGTTGTTGTGAGGGGGGAAGAAGAACAGACTATACTACTGGGACACATAAGAGAGGCTCCCAACTCTGGCATTGTGGGGGGCGGCCAGAGAATGTGTCCTAGATGAAGCAAGATATGCTGAGCTCTGAAGGGGAGATGGGCCAGGAATTAGGATGGATAGAGGAGGGAATGAGAGATTGAAAAATGGAGAGTGCCCCAGGTTCCTGACCTGAGCAACTAAGTGGATGGCAATATTATTTACTGAGACAGAGAAGACAGGAGGGAAAGTAGGGTGGGTATTTGTCCTGCTCATGAGATCAGTTTGGAGTTTCTGAGTAGGGGGAGCCATTCAGATAGCAAGAGAAAAGTTAAATGTATGGGTTTGGATCACAGGAGGCCAGTCTGCATTAGAGAGGTAGACTTGAAAATTTCAGCATAAAGATGGTTCCAAGTCACCCCAGCATAAGCTCAGGGCATGCCCACACTCACAATGAGAGGTCAAGTGTATAGTGAGAAGTGAATATGGCCCAAGACAAACCCAAGGACCTCATGCACCTGAGGGTATATGTAGAGGAAGGGGAACTCAGGAAACTGACAAGGAATGACAAGAGGGGCAGAAGGAACCCAAACAATCCTGTGCCAAAGAGCTTAGAGAAGTCTAGGTTTCAGAAAAGAGGGAGTGGTCAAATGTTAGATAGATCACAGGGATAACAATTAAAGTTGTCATCTGATTAAACCATCATTTCTCTCTAATCCTCAATCTGGGGAATTTTTTTTTAAACACAGGAGAAACTAGAAATCTGACAATCATTCAACTGATAGAAACTCTTGGGTCACTTCCACATTCTAAATCCTGTGTCCTATGAGAGCTAGAAATAATTCTTCATCTTTGCCTCAAAGTGTTTACCATCAATGTAGAAAGAATATAGAATATAAATATAACTAGTTAAATGAGAGTTTAAAGAGAAGGTAGCTACAATATTTAGTGAAATCACAGAGCTATTGCAAAACAAGATGTGGTTAAGTGACAGAGATGGGCAACATGGAAAAGGAAAGATTTGTGCTGGGCTTGGGAGGATGGATAGGCATTTACTCAGGTAGAGAAAAGAATATTATTCTATATTCTGGTCTCCCCTTGGAGTTCTTGCTTGACCTCTCATTGTGAGTGTGGGCACGCCCTGAGCCAATGTCAAGTGACTTACTACCCACAAGAGGTATCAGATTGATGCAATGTTCAACTTTCTCCCTCACACACAGAAATAACTAGCACACCATCAATTCAGCTAACAAGAAGAAATGACTAGCACACCATCAATTCAGTTAACAAGAAGAAATGGACACAGGTCATTATGAAAGTCCTCATTGAGTCTCAAAGGGCCTGACATATTGGAAGGGGGAGAGAAGATGACCCTTCCTTAGGTAGTTCTAGTCAATAGTAAGGGACAAGAGAAGTCATTGCTTAGAACCGGCTAGGAGGATTTTAAAGGAAACCACTGGATATGCACACTCCCATCTCATGGAAAGTTTAATTTAATTGTTTTGTTCATCTCTATAGGTCATTAGAGATTTAATTAGTTGATATGCTTAAATATTCAACTTTCATTTTCCAGTTTCTTTGAAATAAGCATGAGAGTAGATCATCCAAAAAAGAGTAAATAATCCAAAACGAATTGGCTATGTGATGTTGAAATCATTATTTTCTCCTTCAAGATTTCTCATTTTTAGCAGATCTTACTGCACTAACAAAAAGAGAAAGTAACTAACAATAGAAGTGGAGGTGGGGATCTCAGGACAGAGCACATTGGGAATGGAAGGAACAGAAGGGAAATAATGGAATTGAAGTGGCAATAAGCTACAAAACTGGAAGGATGGTGACGGTCATTATACTTCATGTTTGTAGAGTGCTTTGCTGTTTTCAAAATAATTTTTAACATATATTAGTTATTTTTCACTAATAATAATACTTTAATATAGGGATGTAGGAGGCATTATAATAGTTATTTCCATTTTGCAAATGAAGAAAAGGGAAGTTTTATTGGCTGGTGCTGGCATGTGGTCTGGAACTCAAGTCTTTCTAGCTGACTTCTAGATGCTATGGCTCCTCCTGAGGAAGTCTTAACATGAGGGGTTACTGTTGCTTCACCTTGGGCTGCCCACTCTGTACAGTCTATGGGCTCTTTTCTCTCACTGATTCTTGGGATAAGGGTTCTGACATTTCCCCCCAACCTTTAATGGCTCACCTGTCCTTTGTACTCATTAGGTTTCAAGAAGAGCTCCTCACTGACCCTATTGCTCCCCTTTCCCTCACCAGATCTGCCAGTTCCTACAACAAGCCAAGATCACAAGGCTCCAGGACCAGCAGGTTCCCTATGCAGTCAAGGGGAACCAGTGGGTGGGCTATGATGATGTGGAGAGTGTGCAGGCCAAGGTAGGTAGGCAAGAGCTCCAGGACAGAAGTGGGACACTTCTTTGGGTGGGGAATGGCGGTAAAATACTTTATGTTGACAAAGAGAAGCTTCTGGGGTCCCAACTTTAGGATGGGATCCAGTGGCCTCTGCAGCCCAAGTCTATTGGTGACACTAAGCCATACCTATGAGCACCTGTCGAACAGGCAGAAGAGGTGGAAAGGATGAAAAAAAGAATTGAGAATAAATGATGTGAGGAGTGGTGAGAAGGGAGGACCAAGGAGAAGGGAAAGGGGGTAAAGGAGATATTGGTGCCTATGTAGGTTATCCCCCTTCTCCATTATCTCAGGACAAACTCTTCAGTCCTTTTTACTCCTTCAGTCCCTTTCAGGAGGCTCCAAATTTCTTTTCTTTTCTTTTTTGAGATAGAGTCTCATTTTGTCACCCTTGGTAGAGTGCCATGGCGTCATATCTCACAGCAACCTCAACCTTTGGGCTCAAGTAATTCTCTTGTCTCAACCTTTCAAGTAGCTGGGACTATAGGGGCCTGCCACAATGCCCAATATTTTTAGAGACAGGGTCTCCCTCTTGCTTAGGCTGGTCTTGAACCTGTGAGCTCGGATAATCCACCAGCCTTGGTCTCCCAGAGTGCTAGGATTCCAGGCATGAGCCACTGCTCCAGATTTCTGGGACTGCTAGTTCTCAGACTTTAGTAAGACAACTGAAGGCAACAGTGTGCCTTTCAGGATTAGGGCAGGAAGGAGGCATAAGCGTAATTTACACACCAGGCCAGTTGTCTCACTAAGGGCATCCAAGTTTCTTTCCTTATCCTGGGGAGTTTTCACAGCTTCCAAGAATGCTGTATGTCAAATGTGGTAACCCCAGGGACTACAGTCAGAGGTGGCTAATGGTGGGTAGTGGTCTCTCGAACTGAGCAACCTTTCCCTTTAGGGAGTCTCCATAAAACCAGTAGGTCTGAGGTTGTATTCTAAACTCAAACACTCAACTGAATTTGACTTGGTCATCAGCACTTAAGGATGTCTTTTAATCTCTGTGTGTCCCTCTATGTCTCCCATAGGTTCAGTTCTTAAAGAATTTAAACCTGGGAGGGGCCATGATCTGGTCTATTGACATGGATGACTTCACTGGCAAATCCTGCAGCCAGGGGCCCTACCCCCTTGTCCAAGCTGTCAAGAGAAGCCTTGGCTCCCTATGAAGGTAACAAAGTCCAAGGCTGGGGTGGGGAGTGGGCAGAAAGCTGGGCAGAAAAGGGTATGAGAGATTGCGAGAGATCATCTTTATATATTTGAACTGATCCTTTCTTGTGTTCCTTTGGATCTTCGGCCATGTTTTGTTGATTGGTTCTGCCCTTTTGGTAGGCTACCCATAGACTTTCAAAATGATAATAATAAATTTTGGTTGCCATTTATTGAAGACAGTGTGAGCTTAGAAGGGCCTTCTTTACATGTATAATAGGAATAAATATTAACTCCACCACAATTCTTGGTTACAAAAACATCAGCCTGTTTTGATTTCTAAGTCTTAATAAATCTGAATTCAACCCACTGACCTAATAATAAATCCAATCTCAGTCATTACTGGGGTGCCTCATTAAGTTCACTGACAGCCGATCTTAGTCTAGACCTTTGGGAGATAATAAAGTCATTATCGATAAGCCTCCCTATTACATTGAAGGCCGGTGGCCTTGCTGCCACTCCATCCTTGGAATCCAGGGTCCTTAAGTACAATGCACGTTCTCATGTGTAAGTGAAGGCTCTTACTAACCAACTAGCCATGCTAAAGTCCACTGGACTAGCCATGATTAAATCCATTGGTTCTAGGAGAGGGGATGGAGGAGTGGGGGACTTGGGCTTACTGGAGACAGACAAACTGAAAAGGACTGGCTGTGTTCCTGGTGAAGGGCCCAGAATTGTTTGTTGGGTTGCTCCCGAATCATACTGGCTATATGATGGGGTAGCAATCCTCCAGGTTTGAGCATCCTTGGTTTAGTAACTTGATTTGGGTCTCAGTTTACTGAGTTGGGCTTTGAAACAGTGTTCTTTTTATTTCTAGGCTTAACTTACCAAGGAGCAGGCAAAGTGACCTTGCTGCCTGGGGCCTGCACCTTCTGTGGGAATTCTTGTCTGGGATTCCCCTTACCAGGCTGGCTTCCAGATCTCTCTCTTATAAGCCTTCCCTGACTTTCTCTCAGACTTTGCACTGGGCCTATCTTTGTTTTTCTGCAGCTATTGACTTACTGCCCTGAAACACAATTAAAAAAAAAAAAAAAAACCTCATTTTGCTACAGCAAGTGTGTCCTCATTTGTATAGTCCTTGATCTGTGGTATTAGGCTGTCCTGCTCCTACTATTTGTGGGGTTCAGGGATAGTATAGAAATGGAGGCCCGCAAATCATATGTTGATAAATGACTTATGTCCACACATTAACTAATATGACTTCACAACTACAAGATCAGAATCTGAAGATTTAGAATTCTCAGACTCCTTGGAATTCCACACCAAAACATGTCAACACATGCCCTCAGCACACGCCCTTAGCTTCCATCACACAGATAATCCTCTTCTCTTTCTACCTTCAGCTCTGTCTTGCAGATCAGGGGTTTCATTGTAGTACTTGTGGACAACTCAGATTTTACATTCAAACATCATCTACATCCTACCCTCACCCCCAACACACACACACACACACACACACACACACACACGCAGAATCTCTGGGCTAAGCATGTGCATACCAGTACTTGTGGTCTACCGTTAATGATGACCCGGGGGGAGGGAGAAAGCCTATTGAGGCTCTGTGGGCTATTTGAGCAGGAATCCTGGGAATCTGGATTACAGTTTAGGAGATGGATGTAAGCTCCAGGTGGTTGTGCCCCTAAGACCTGCAGTCTCCCTATCTCATGGGGGAGGGATAGAAATGGAAGAGGCCACAGTAAAACCATACAAAGCAACTGTCCGCAAACTATGACCCATAGGTCAAACCAGCACACTGCCTGTCTTTATAAACAAAATCTTATAGGAACACAATCATACTCAGTTTGTTTACATGTCTGTGGCTGCTTTCTCTTTACAATGGCAGAGATGAAACATGGCAACAGAGACAAGTACACCTTGCAAAGCCTAAGATATTTACTGTCTGGCCCCTTACAGAAAAGTTTCCCAAGTAGATTGAATCTCAGAATGTAGTGGTACCAGCAAGTCTACGGAGAAAGGGATTACAGATGGCTACATGATCCAAAGGGACAGAGGGTATGAATACTAGGAGACATGTTTCACAGCTGCTTTGAATATCCCCTTATGAAATAAGTCCTGGATATACAAGGTACATACCAACGTATGAGAGTGGCAAGCACTGGTGGATACCAAAGGCAATCAGTCTGCAAGATCACACTGAATGTCACTCCAGTACTCAGATCTTCTCACTACAAGACGGATGATGCTCAGGTGCCTCTCTGGCTTCTGAACTCTGGGTCAGTGCTTTGCTTCCCATGGTAACTGAGTTCTTGAGAAGCGGAAGAGTAATTAAGAACACAATCTGGAGTCAGATTTCCCAAGTTCACACACACTGATTTGTTAGTAACCTATTGGCTGTGTGACCTTGGGCACATTGTATACCTACTCTGTGCCCCAGTTTTCTCATTTGTAAAATGGGAATAAGAATAACTACCTCTGAGACATATGACAGTTAAGTCATATCTGTAAATCTTTTGAGCTAGTGCCTGACACATCACAAACATTATTGGTGTTTGCAGTAACTTCCCTTAAAAGGAAGCCCTTAGACAAAACAAATCTAATAGAGTTTATTTCAACAAAGAGTGATTCATATGTCAGGCAGCACTCAGAACCAGAGAGGTTCAGAGAGCTCTGCTGTGCAATGTGGACAATGAGAGTACTTATAGACAGAACCACAAAGTAAAGGACAGAAATAATTTGGTTACACCCAGGAATTTGCCTTATTTGGACATAGTCTGATCAATTGGCTGCTTGTAATTGGCTGAGATCCAGCTATCTGCTATAATAAAGTATATACTCCTAATTAGGTTGCAATTAGTTTATATACCAAGCTGGGTTACATGAGTAGGGACTCAGGGATATCCAATTTGTGGCCCAGGGAGCCACATCCTGATTTTGTGAGGACTTTTTTGCTTAGCTATGGTGTCAGATACTACAAAAAGTATGCACAAAACTTTTATTTGCTAATCAGCTGTCGTTAGTGTTTGCCTATTTAATATGTGGCCCAAGACAACTCTTAGTCTTCCAATGTATGGCAGAGAAAAAAGGGGGGATGGACACCCTTGAACTACAGAGTCAGCTTCAAGCAGCCAAATTTAATTGAGCACTTCCCATTATCCAGCTGTTCTAACTGGCGCATGATAAAGTCTGGACAGCTGCCCAACATATTAACCTTGGCCTTGCATGAAGCCTAAGAGTCCATTAAAGGTCTGTGTCTTGAGCTCTAATCCCTGACCTCTAAGCAGTCCTCTTTCATATCTGTTAGGGGAAGAGAACCATTTGCTTTGCAAACATCCAGAAGATTAAGAGCAGGGCTTCTTGTCTGCCTGGGATTAGGGAGAGATCCTAGTCAACCTTTTTTATTTTCTGTGTTTTTTTTTTTCCCCTCCTTTCTCTCCCAGACGACCCCTTTGAGGAGATCTTTGAAGGCAAAGACTCTTTTTGCCATAGAGGGACCATATTTTAGAGTTGCAGAGGAGTGGTGTGACTGACAGTCAGAAGAACTCAGGCTGTCCCTGCTTGGATCATAGCTCTCCTGCTTGTCAGTGTGACCTCGGCAGGTTACTTAGTCTTCTGTGCCTCAGTTTTCCTAATCTGCAAAATAGATAATAGTAGCATCTGCCTCAAGGAGTAATTTTGAAGATTAAATAAATTAATATGTGTAAAGCACTTGGCACATTGTGAGTACTGAATGGAGGTTAGCCGTTGTTATTTTTTATACTGACCCAGTGCTAGTTCCTCAATACTTCCAGTTATTGGCAGTCTCCTAGGATTTAGGCACAGGCTAAACAGAATACAAAGCCTGAGAATGATGGAGAGGATTGTAGGTAATAGCCTTGGAAGTGCCCTCAGCTCTACACAACTACATACTTGTACTGAAATCTCACAGACTCATTTCTGTGTTCTTTATGAATCCAAATCGACTTAAAATGGATCTGGGCTTAAAAGACCCAAGGGTCTGATCAGCATCTTTCAGATGCTAGTGAAACTTGCAAACTTGAAATCTTGTGTGGAGTTATCTTGTTAGGAGTTATCATGTGCTGGAAGTACAGCAGCAGCACCACGTGTCCCAGATGGATTTCAGTGTAAATCTGGACTGTGTAAATGTGAAGATGCCTCAGGGCTGGTGTCAATGCCAAAGGGGAAAAGAAATGCCTGCTTTGGAGCACAGCAGATCCTAGCCTTGCTCCTGTCATTGTCTCTGTGCTGAGGGACCCTCAGATGTCGTCTAGAAACCTATGATATGGCACCCTAGAAGGCTTCCTGTAAGTGGCATCCCTTCCTGTATGGACAATAAGGCTGGGATGAAGCAGAGGGAGACGGATCGTAAAATGTGATTCTCAGAACCTCAATCCATGGGCAGTTGTGCAGCTGTCTTTTCTCTGACATTGGTTGCTGGGACACTGTCCCAGGCTTGGCTGCTTTTCCCATCTGAGTCAAAGCTTAATTAGATATGCCTGCCCTGGCAAATTTCCTCGATTCTCTGTAAACCAGGCACTCTTCAAATAAACAGAAGCAACCTTGGAAAATGATGTTTTCTCACTCCAAACTTTCAAACTCGCAAACTTGTTGCCACGCACATCATTGCAATAATAGATCCAAAGAGTTGGGGCCTACACAGGGGCTACCCTCACACTCAGCATCCCCAAGGATATAGCCCAGGCAAATGGTTACCTGATGTCCTTTATCCACACTCTGCCTAGGATCCAGCTGGTCTCCCTTGACACGTGGGCCTGCTCTGACCTTTAATGACATTGGACCCTGGGTCAACCTCCTATGTGTGCCAGATATGCCATTTTCCTAAAAGGACCTTCAGTCAACAGCCTTTTAAAGCTGTTCTCACGGCATCTCCATTGTGTCCTTGGGCTGATTACCCAAGATGGAAAACAGATAAGATTCAGAGGGTGAAGGGGAACCCATGCAGCTCCTACCACTTTAGTCCTGATCCCATTTTACCTGCCAAAGAGAGCCAGGTGCAGGGTGGGCGGGTCCACCAAGCTCCCTATAAAGGGCTGCTGAGTACCCATGAGGACCTGGAACTCATATTGAGAACTTCCCATCACAATGGACAAACTGCTGATTCTTGCTGGTGAGTCTTTCCCAGAGCAGCTGACTTGAGCTCTCAGAGCAGCTGCCTTTTCTCTTCCATCCTCTTTCTGTCTCCTCCCCTATCCTGTGCTCTAAGGCCTGCATTGTCTCCTTCCTTTCTCTCTTGCATCCCCCTTGGGTTCATAATCTATTGGGGAAGAAAGGAATGAGGAGCCCACTGAGCACTCGAGGGCTTCATGCGGGAGGGAAAGTGGATAACTCCGGTGAGCCAGGGACAAGAGTATTTCTGCTATGGAAGCATAGAAGACTTGCCCAGTGCCCCCTTTCTGTGTTCAGATGTTCTGTGATTGCATCTCTGTGTCAGCCAAGGAACACAACACACACATATCTTATCGAGGACTCATCACTACTGGTAGAACAGACGAATGAAGCAGGTGCTTTTCTGCAAAAAGGCAGAAAAAGGTCGTGTTAATGCAGCTCCCCCAGAGCTGGCTTGCTTCCCAGAGAGGATTACCAAACTGGCTAGGGGCCAAACAGCCCAGTGAGGGAGATGGCTGGGCCAGCATAACAGCACATCCTGGGTGTGATTGGGTGGCTTAGAAAGGAATACAATCTAAAAGCATCATCTGAAGGCAGTAGATCAGCTAATACAAGGTGGGGTAGGGGGATGAGCAAGTGGGGAGAGGAGAGGAGGGGGATGGGAGGTCAGGTGTATGGCACACTTCTTGGGGGTGGCACATAATTGTAAGAGGGACTTTACCAAATGCAATCAGTGTAACCTACTTGTTTGTACCCTTAATGAATCCCAAACAACAAAAATAATAAAAGCATCATCTGATTTGAAAAGTAAAGTTGTTTCTAGAAAAGGTGAGTTCTAGATCTCAGTGTGAAGAGGCTGCTATGGGAAGAGGGCCTCTGCCCCAAACCTCCCCTCTCCACCTCCAAAGCCTCTCTGCCCTTCCCCCCCATATGGCTTATCTTTAGGGTGTGTTAATTCAACACACATTGGTAGAGAGCTGACTGTGTGCTGGTGCGCTGGGCTGGGTAGGGGCACTCAGCAGTGTGAGCAACATCTCTGCCCTCACCGAGTCCACAGTCTAGTGGGAAGACCAACAGCAATCAGTGTGGTAAGTGCTGCAACAGAGACAGGCATGAACACCAAAGGAACCTGCAGGAAGAGCAGGGAAGCCCAGTCAAATGTCACTTTTCTCAGGAAGTCTTCTCTGACCTCTACTTCCCATAACACTTAGTTTACATCCCAACTTTATCACTTGTCATTTCACATTGCACCTGTGTGCTGATAGGTATGACTTCCCCTCTCCAGCCTGCGAGCTCACTAAGTACAGGGACCCTGCTTGGTTTTTCTTTTGCTCTCTACCATGCAATACTTAATAGGAGCTTGTTGAAAGCAAAATAAAAAATCATCCTGGCTCCTGAGCTGTGTACCACCATTTGAGCTGCCAGGGAGCCATCTGGATGCCTATATTAGCCATCTGCTCCAAAGGCATCATGCAGAAGCCTGGGTTGGGAAGAGATTTCTTCAGCAGAGAGAGCACCAGGTCCCAAATCCCTTTCTCCACTTGCTATCCAGGCCTGCTCCTTCCCAGCCAGGGAAATGATGACCCTGGCACCCTCTGACCAAGGTTTCTCTTCTTTTTTAGGGCTGGCCCTCCTGCTGCAGCTGGGTAAGTGTCCCATGTGTGGGTGGGGGTTGCCAGGGTATTAGTCGGGAGACATTAGCCAGAGCAAGGTCTGTCTCTTACTTCCCTACCATTCCAGGCACCACAACCAAAATCGTCTGTTACTTCACCAACTGGAGCCAGTACCGCCCTGGGATTGCCCGCTACATGCCGGACAATGTGGACCCCTGCCTCTGCACACACATCATCTACGCCTTTGCTGGAATGGCCAACAACCAGATTAAAACTATTGAGTGGGATGATGAGGCCCTCTATGCTGGCATCAATGGCCTTAAGAACTAGTGAGATTTGGGCTTGGGCTCTGTGCTGGGTTGGAGGTTTTCACACAAGCCTTTCAGAAATTTCCTAAGAGACATCAACACCAGAATGCTTAGCCTTTGAGTGCTAACCTCTGCTCCAGAAATCTCTTCCCAACCCAGGCTTCTGCATGATGCTTTTGGAGCAGATGTCCCACAATCCCTCAGTGCCTCAATGGGAGAGTTTTCAGCATCCTTCTCCCCAGGAGAGGCTGGTTGCTGTCATTGTTCTGGATTATTTCCTCACCAGATCCTCGGAATTGTATTCTATGTGTTTCAGGAGGTGCCACCTGCAGGAGTTCACTGTGAAGAGTGTCCCCTGGAGTTTTCCCCATGTCACCCTATGAACTAGCTGCTAATTAACCCAAAATGGTTCTTGCGCCGGTTAAATGCTTAGCATATCTACTAGGTGACTACTATATGCTAGGCATTCTGCTAGGTGCTTTTCACTTATTATTTTAGGTACCCTCACATCAACATTTTAAAGTTGAGGAAACTGAGCCACAGAGGGGTTAAAAGCCTTTCCTGGCCCACAGAACAGAGGAATGCCAGAGTGATTTATCAGATAGGTTGATACTTCCACAGTCTTGGGAATCCAAAGCGTAGGTTTGATGGTCAAGCTCACAGGATCTGTGGTTCCCGCTGGGAGATGCCACAGTATAAAGGAGTTAGGGTTGAATTCTGGCTCTGTCACCTTACTAGTTGGACAATCTTGGAAAAATTGTTTAATCTTTCTTAATATCATTTAAAGGTCAAATGAGATTAATAGTTTCTGCCTTGTGAGAATGTAAGAATTATAAGAACAATGCATGTAAAGTACTTGGCATTGGGTAAATGGTAGACATTTCTACTGCCCCATTCCTGACTCTTTTAGAGACTCAGATTGTCAGCTTTCTGGCTTTGTGTAGCCCAGCAGCTGTCCTGTCTGTGTTAAGGGATTGATTTTGCCACCCCCAGGATACCCTGCCTTTTCTTCCCTTGAAGTTCTATGCTGCAACAGGACTCACTGGCAGAGCTGAGGGGAAGAACCTGTCCAATGAGTATTTATTTATACTGTGCCAAGAGATGCCCATGGCACAAGGGCACCTTGATCTCCCAGAGAGCTGCTTCCAACACAAGGCCGAGTGTGGGATGTGAAGGTAGAGGGACTGACTGGAAGATGACATCTCCTGGCCCATGGGATTGCTTTACATTGGTGTCTTTCTATCTCCAGCAACACAGAACTGAAAACCCTGCTGTCTGTTGGTGGCTGGAACTTTGGAACCCAGGGGTAAGACTTTATATTCATGGCCAAATCATTTCCAGATTATTCAATCCCTGTCAACTCCAAAGGCTCTCTGAGTTTCTCTGAAGAGGACGGCCCCTCAGACCTCAGTTAGGCATCCCAGAACTCCTCTCTGACCAGCTTAGTCTGAAGTCTGCCCTTCTTCCATCATAGCTGCTACTGCATAGTATTTTAATTTTCTTTTTAATTATCTACCTCTTCCTCTACATGTGCTCCTCCAGGTTAAAACTATTTTATTCATCACTATCCCCCAGCAGTGTTGAATGAATGACTGAATGTGTGTCCAGGCAAATAGTGAGGTGAGGTGATAAGACAGAGTATCCAGGAGCTCAGGCCACTATGGTTTCCTCCTACATCCCTGTGAAATGCCCTATGGGAAAATCCTGATCCTGTGGGAGTCCATGTCAAAGCTCGTCCCTGCCATGAAATCATGATGATTTGTTGACTCCAGATTCTCCAACATGGTGGCCACTGCCGAGAACCGCCAGACCTTCATCCAGTCGGCCATACAGTTTCTGAGGAAGTATGACTTTGATGGGCTGGACATAGATTGGGAGTATCCAGGCAACCGTGGCAGCCCGGCCGACACCAAACAGCTCTTCACCGTCCTGTTGAAGGTGAATCACCCTCACTCTGTCCAAAGAGCACAGGATCTGGCCCACAGGGAGCTGAGACAAAGCCTCAGTCTGAACAAGGGTTCCGAGAGAGGCTGAATACACCCCAGCTGAGGATGCAGATCTCAGCCTTTCTGCCTCAAAGCCTGATTTATTCAGTATGAAATCAGCTCTCCCTTTCAGGGAAAACTCACATCGGCCAAGTTATGGAGACTTGTGTAGGATAGCATAATGAAAGTTAACAGATTTACAGTGATAAATGTGACTTTATTTTATTTTATTTTATTTTATTTATTTTTCTTTGAGACAGAGTCTCACTATGTCACCCTCCGTAGAGTGCCATGGCATCACAGCTCTTGGGCTTAAGTGATTCTCTTGCCTCAGCTTCTCAAGTGGCTGGGACTACAGGTGCCCACCACAATAGCTGGCTATTTTTTTGTTGTAGGTATTATTGTTTAGCAGGCCTGGGCCGGTTTGAATCCACCAGCCCCAGTGTATGTGGCTGGCACCCTAACCACTGAGATATACGCACTTAGCTGATAAATGTAACTTTAATCACTAATATTTGCTTTGGTATTCTTAATTCTTCTTCTTCCATGACTGATTATTCTGGTTATTAGATTCAGTTGCATGCAGTTTGCAGGGGTGAGAGCTGCTTTTATCTATCTGTCTATTTATTTATTTATTTTTTGAGACAGAGTCTCACTCTGTTGCACTGGGTAGAGCGCTGTGGTGTCATAGCTCACAGTAACCTCAAATTCCTGGGCTCAAGAGATCCTTCTTGCATCAGCCTCTAGAGTACATGACACTATAGATGCCTGCCACAATGCCTGGCTAGTTTTTCTATTTTCAGTAGAGATGGGGGTCTCTTGCTCAGGCTGGTCTTGAACTCCTGAGCTCAAGTGATCTAGCTGCCTTAGCCTCCCAGAGTGCTAGGATTACAGGCATGAGCCACAGTGCCGGGCCATTTTTTTTTTTTTGTCTCTTTAATTTAATCTTTTTTAAGAAAATATTTTTCTACTCTGGATGTTATTTGTTCGTTATAAAATTTAACTTTCACAGTGTGACCAAACTCCTATCATTTTCAAGTTTGGGGGACATAACTCACTATTGTCTCCAGAGACCAAAAACACCTTTTGGACCAAATGACTCTAAACTGAGCTCTTCACATCCTTCTTAAGAGCTGTGACCTTGTCACATGCTCACTGGTTCCTCCAGCCTGAGTGCATTGTCCTCTGTTTCACAGGAAATGTATGAGGCTTTTGAGCAAGAGGCCACCCAGAGTAACAAGCCCAGACTGCTGATTTCTGCCGCCGTGTCAGCAGGCAAAGGTACCATTGAGACCGCCTACCAGATCCCCGAGATGTCTAAGTAAGTACACTCAGGGCCCATGTTCAGTGCTGACTGACCCTGGGACCTTCCCCAGGTATTGTAAAACACCCAGATACCAGTGACCAATGCTCAGGTTCCCATAAACATAGAGGGCTCCATCTCAAAGGAATGAAATGACCTCAGTGACTGAGGAAGAGGCAGGGGAAGCCAACATGAGCTGTTACTTTGTTTCTAAACCTATCTCCAAGGTTCTCTATGGTAAAAGGATTTTTGGAGAAGATTAGTTGAGTCTCAAGCTTCTACGGCTCCTAAAAGTCTTGGCACAGGCAGATACTGATTATGGGCTTGAGTGCCTTCTATAATATATAGGTGCTATTGAGATAAAAGTGAAGGAGGATGGGATAAAAAATACCAATGCATTAGGGAACCCTTATAGCATAATTACAAACAATATTTTCGGTAGGGGCTGGAGCTTTGTGGGCAATGGGCTGGAGAGTGTGATTTTCCTTGAATCTTTTGTACCTTCCCCCGACCAACTAAGGTACATGGACCTCATCAATGTGATGACCTATGACCTAAGGGGCTCCTGGGAGGGCTTCACAGGAGAGGACAGCCCCCTGTTTGCAGGACCCAATGATGAAGGGGACTACAAATACTTTAATGTGGTGAGTGAGGAAGTCTGTAAAGCATGTCATAAAATCCCTGGTCCAGGATCTCTGGTCCAGGCCTAAAAGGGATGCCAAGGAAGCCAGATGTATAGTTCATGTCCCCTATCTCCCTGCCCTTGTGACTAACTTGTAGGATAAATAAGATATTGCAAGGCCTGTAGCAGTGACTCGCACTTGTAATCCTAGCACTCAGGGAGGCAGAGGTGGGAGCTTTGCTTGAGTTCAGGAGTTCAAGACCAGTGTCTCTACTAAAAACAGAAAAATTAGCAGGGCATTGTAGCAGGTGCCTGTAGTCTCAGTTACTCAGGAGGCTGAGGCAGGAAGATAGCTTGAACTTAGGAATTTGAGGTTGCTATGAGCTAGGTAGATGCCATAGCACTCTAGCCTGGGCCAATAGCATGCGGCTCTCTCAAAAAAGAAAAATATATTGTAGGATAATTATATCCACTTATTTTTCACACAAAAAAGGAAGCAGAATAGTGGTTTTCCCAAACATTAGGGAATTTTAAAAAATGTCTTTTCCATTTATGCTGGGAGCACATTTCATGATCTATCTTGCTCCCACTCTTCCTTGCCCCTCTTCTCCCCGCTTCCTATCTTATGAGGCTTATTTGCCTTATTTGTACAGCTTAGGCAGGTACCGTAACATTGAATCTGCTTAGTAATTAGCAGGTGGGAAAATGGGCTAGCTGTGATTTCAGTGGAAATTTCAACCAGGAATTTAAAAGTCTCCCAGATGGAGGCCCCATGTTCAAACATTTTTGAGTACCAGTTGGAAAGACAACTGGATGCATGGCTGAACTTCAGTCATGCCACACTTGCCGAATCCAGAGTACAGAAAAGGAGGATGAGAGAGCATTTCATCCCTAGTTGACACTGGGCTCTGTTACCTAAGCAATGGGCATCTTGACCAAGGATACCTCTGACTCCTAGTTCTAAATGGTTGGATTGTGGAAGGGGATTGACTGGGTGTTAGACCTGGAGACATCAGGGAATGAGCAGAAAATGTGGTTTCCAAGGCCTCTGGACACATGCTTGGCTGCTTCCTAATGGCATTTTCCTCATCTTACCTTCAGGATTATGCAATGAACTACTGGAAAAGTCAAGGTGCCCCTGCTGAGAAGCTGATGGTGGGCTTTGGGGCATATGCCCGCACCTTCACTCTCACCAACCCTGCCAACCACGGTCTGGATGCCCCCACCTCTGGCCCTGGGACTGCTGGGCCCTATACTCAGGAGGCTGGGACTCTTGCCTACTTTGAGGTAATGTCCTCAGAGGACCCAGGGGACCAGAGAGCCCCCCTCTCTCTCTGTTCCCAAGATTGAAGATACATCCATGGAGAAAGTCTATACTTCGCTTTTTATTATAATATGAGGTACCCTGTTGCTCATTGCTCTGAATATATGTGGTGGGGAGAGAAAGGTAGAGTAAATGATTGATAAGACACCTTACATTTTAACCTTTTGAAGGAAATGTGCCTCTTTAATATTAGTACTAGCTGATACTTACTGAGTGCAAATAGAGAGCCACGCTGTGTTCTAAGTGGTTTTCATATACCATCTTATTCAACATACATGACAAACAATAAGGTACCAACATACTCCTCATTTTACACAAGAGGACACTGAGGCACGGGGGGTGAGTGATCTGTTCACGGTCACAGCACTAGTAAGTGGTAGAGCTAAGATTCAAACTTAAGTTGTCCAGCTCCAGACCCTCAGACCTTAACCATTATACCCTACTGTGCTCTTGTTAGTTCTTAGAGGCAAAAACTCTTTCAAATAAGAGGAGCAGGCAAGCTTGTTGTAAAGGTAAACTGAGGCATAAAGCACAAAGGAACTGCCTTGTCCACTGTAGTGCAGGAGGTTACTGGCAGATACAGGACTAGAAGTTGTGTCTCTCTAGCTAGTGTACTCTGCAGTCTTGCTGGACAGGAAAAACAAGTCAGGGATCCCAGTGACACTGGAACCAGGTGCTCTTATTTCTAGCAAAGATGGTTGGGGTGAGTAGTATAACCCAGGAAAGAAAGGGAGGAAGGACAAAGAAGAGGTCTGAGCAGAGCAGGGCCCATCTGAGGCATGACTACTCTTCCTGCACCTGCCCCAGGTCTGCTCCTTCCTGAAAGGAGCCACTGAGGTGTGGAATGCCCCCCAGGAGGTGCCCTATGCCTACAAGGGGAACCAGTGGATTGGATATGACAACCCCAAGAGCTTCACCCTCAAGGTAAGGCCCTCCACACCCTTCTCTCTTCAGGGAGAGGTAGAGGACCTGCCCTCTAGGTGTTGAGTTACAAACCCAGGAGACACCTAAAGGAGGTGAGGCAAGGTGAATTGAGTCCCAGGGAAGGGGAAACCCTGAAGTTTCCAGGTGAGCCAATGACCCAGCTGCAGAGCCCAGAAGCTGGAGTAGCCCCTTCAGCTCCAATTGCAGTTGGCTTCTTTCCATCCCTCGGCTCCTGTACTTTCTCCTCTCTTCCACTCCCTGAACTCTCCTTTAACCCCCTCCTAGGCTCTGCTCTCATCCTGATGCAGCTCTTTAATTCATGCTTCCTAAGGCAGAAATTCTTCCCACTCCAAAGACTATGGTGTTGACCACAAGGTCTCTTCCTGTCCTTTGCCTATCTCCTGCCTATGGCACATTCATACAGGCTGAGTCAAAATCAGGAGATGAGTTGCTTTGGGTTGTGTGGCTTCTGACCGCTGGCCTTCACATGCTCAGGTCTGGAGAGGGTGTGGTTACAGCTCATCAACCTACCCATCTGGAACTCTCTCTTTCCTTGCCCAGATATTTTGCTATGTGAAGGGCCCTATATCTCTATGACATGTCACCCACTCAAGACGTAAGCTGGAGCTCATCAAACTCCAGCTCAGATGAGCCTTCTCAGAAGGTGGCTGTAATAACAGGGTGCAGGGGGGTGGGGGAAGGAATCCTTGGAGCCCAACACCCATTCTCCCTGACTTAGTAGAGCTAAAGTCCTTCCTTGCATACAAATATGGTGAATCCCTCAAAGTGGCTGTAAGAAAGCCACTCCCCTTCCCTGCTCTTCACAACTAGATTATCATTCTCCTGCCATCCTTCTGGAGGTGCTTGCAGCATGTGTGTAAAGACACCCACAGTCATCCTGGTTCTCTTCTGCAGGCCAAGTGGCTTCTAGAAAACAGCTTTGGAGGGGCCATGGTCTGGGCCATTGACCTGGATGACTTCACAGGCACTTTCTGTGGACAAGGCAAATACCCTCTCATGAATGCCCTCAAATCTGCACTCGGTGTCTCCACTCCCGGTAAGTAGTGATGACCTATGAGCCATGAGATAAAAACCTAGACATGGTTGAGGAATAAGAAAAGACCAGAGCTCCTTTAAGCCTTACATTAAGGAAGGTTTCCTCCAGACTTCCAGCTGTCCTGGGAATGTCCATGTGGAACTGGCATTCAGCAGGTGGACTGCTAGGGGGCAGTTTGTGAGTGACAGCCCTGGTGAGAGAGAGAGGTCCTAGCACTATTGTGGGGGGTTCTCCTCTGCTCAGGGAGGCTTCCCTAAAGTGAACTAAAATACCAGCGCCTGGGGAGGGAAGGGATATGCCTTCTTCCCTCTTCCTGTCTGCTCAGCTCCAGCCCCAATGACTTCATAGAGCAGAGAAGACAAAACAAGGAAGGGATTAAAAGATTAGAAGATGAGGAAAGGGAAGGGAGATGGAAATCCCTGAAGAGGTCAGCTTGTACATGCTCCAAGGTGGGGCGCAGAGATACAGCTGTTCTCAATGCACAGTTTCGTCTAGTCCCAAGGGCATGTCCAGGAAGCAAGAGGGGCTGGGAACCTGCAGGGAAGCTAGAGCTGAAGGTTGGGCCTATACTCTGTCAGGCCTCCTGGTTCTTTTAGATTTCATGTAATCCTTATAGGCATTCTTGGTGACAGGTGTTATTAGTCTACTTAAAAATAAAAACTAACAATTGTGTAGTACTTACTGTATTGTATGTCATGCAGGTTGGAAAATACTATTCTAAGAGATAATACTATTACCCCCATCATTTCTGGGAGGAAATTGAGTCTCAGAGAAGTGTTAATACCCTGCTCATGGTCACGTAGCTCATGACAGAGACAGGCTGTGAATCTGGGTATCCCTGATTCAAGCTCAGAGCATTAACCACAGGTTTAGGTAGGATGTGCCCTAAGAGGAAACTACAGTGACTTACAGATGTGACTCTTGTCCTGAAAAAAGAGTCCACTTCTGAACACACGGAAACCTTTTTCTTCTCTCTTCAGGTTGCCAAGTGCCCACCACTACCCTGGGCACCACCTCCGCCCCTGTCGTCACAGCAGCACCCGGAGGTGGCAGTACTGGTGATCATGGATTCTGTGCCGGGAAATCTAATGGTCTCTATCCTAGCCCCACCAGCAAGCGCGCCTTCTACAACTGCATGAATGGCCTCACCTATGAGGAGGCTTGTCAGACAGGCCTGGTCTTTGACACCAGCTGCTCTTGCTGTAACTGGGCTTAAGTCATCCATCCACCTGTGGGGGCCCTTGGGGACTATGGGAGAGAAGGATGATTAAAGGGAAGTTTGCATCTGAATAGCAAGTTGTCTGTTTTGATTTATTAATCTGCATGATACTGTTTCACTGGTAAACAGCAATTCTCACCTTTCTATTGTCTCCCCATCCCTTGTTCCTGTGCTCCCAAGATATGCCCAGAGGAGGTTGGGGCTGAAACAGGAGGGACAGGTGGGTGAGAATTCTTTGAGCACTTCTCTGGGAAGTTCTGGTACTCTGGACCCCTCCTAAAATTAAGGGTGGGGGAGGGTGAAACAGGCACTAGAGGCAAGAAGGATTAAATCGTTGCTCTTTCCCATGAATATGCCTCCAAAAGGTCTTATAGAAGAACCTGAAGGAGTGGCTGGATTCAGAAACTTAATTTATGGCATCACCCCTTACAGAAACTCTTCCTTACACCCCCTTACGCATTTTTTTTTTAATCTCTGCTTTCAATTTCTGCTGGCTTTCACTTTATCTTAGTTTGAAGGGTTTTTTTTGATCTTTTTTTTTTTCTTTCTTCCTCCTTTAGCGATTCTCTTGCCCTCTTGCCCCCCGTGTAGCTGTAGCTGGGATTACAGGCACTCGCCACAACATCCAGCTTTTTTTTTTGGTAGAGATGGAGTCTCACTCTGGCTCACTCTGCCTCATGCTGGTCTTCTGCTAGTTCCAAACTTGGTTAAGCTCAGCGATCCACCCGCCTCGGCCTCCCACAGCGCTGGGACAACAGGCATGAGCCACCGTGCCCTGCCCCTTTACTCATCTTTACTCCTGTCCCAACTCTAGGCAAATGTTTCTGAGCAAGCTCGTTTGGGGGGTTTGTTGTTGTTGTTTTGGGTTTTTTTGGTTTTTTGAGACAGAGTTTCAGTCACCCTGGGGTTGAATGCTGTGGCATCATAGCTCACAGCAATCTCAAACTCTTGGGCTTAAATGATCCTCTTGTCTCAGCCTCCTGAGTAGCTGGGACTAGAGGTACCTGCCACAATGCCTATCTAGTTTTTCTATTTTAGTCGAGACAGGGTCTCACTTTTCTCAGGCTGGTCTTAAACCCCTGAGCTCAGGCGATCCACCCACCTCAGTTTCCCACAGTGCTAGGATTACAGGCGTGAGCCACTGCGCCCAACCAAGCTTTCCTTGTTTTAAGGACTGAGCATGAAGGGTCATTTTCAGAATGTCTGCATGTACACCATTCCACACCTATGAAATTAGGAAAAAAATATCAGCAATGATTTAGATTACCTCACTTAAAAATAAATTAGTTCATTATCATCTTTATTTTCACATCACACTCTAATGTACCCTGCAAGTCCCTTAAGGAAGGTAATAAGAAAACCAAACAAAAAGCCACGTTACAGCAGGGATCAGAGTCTTCCTTAACAACCATCTCCAGAACTTGGCCTCTACTCTTTCTTAAACTGGTTACCATGACGAAGAAGATAAGGAAGAATGCAGCTCACCACCTCTTGTCCAGCTGCACTAACCAGTTTATTGGGAATTGCAAAAATCTCTAGATTTTATGCTTTTGACAGAACTGGTGCAACCAGTAAATAGAATTCCTGGAAGTTTATTATCCCATCCCACCCATCTGGCCAGCTGGAGTATGAGTAGGACATCCATATGTCTCTGTTTGCTTGGGATAGTCCTCACTAGCTCTAGTTCCCATTCATATAGCAATTATGCAGGTGTAAAAATCATATTACAAAATGTTTTTATTACTATCACATTACAGTTGTACAAGGTTGAACAATTAAAGTTGGCAAACTCATCCTAGAAAAAGTGCTACATACCTTATTGCTGAATATCACTATCATCACCTGTGAGGAGCTCCCCTTGGGAAGCTATGCACTGATGCCAGCACCTAGCCCACCCTTCAAAGCTATTTTGGAACTTTTTTTTATGGAATGCCATCAGAATGGTCCTTATAAGAGGGGCTGACAATTAAGTTCGTGAACTCATCCTAGAAAAAGTGCAACATACCTCATTGCTGAATATCGCTATAGTCACCTTCAAAGCACTCCCCTTGGCCATCTGGTGACCATACTTACATTCAGCAATAAAGTATGTAGCACGTTTTTCTAGGATGAATTTGTGAACTTAATTGTCCAACCTCATATGGAGTGAATTTGATGTACCTCTACTTTATACTTCTCTCTGACACAGAACAGAATTATTTACTGTGTGGTTAAATTTGAACATTTACCAGTGATAATCCATCTCTTTCCCTGGCCATTTTCTGACAAAAAATTATAGCTCCCCTTTCACTAATAAACTGACATGTGCTTGGAAGGAAGTGCCAAGGGACAGCTGTCTTCTCTGGTTTCAGGAGGGCAAGTATTGATTGATACCGATGGTTCAGTCAACCCATGGTGGACTAACCAGTTGTTCCCTGGCATATGGGATGAGCAAAGCCTTCAGTACACCAGGTCGTGGGTTCAGTGGGAAATGAGGAAAATGATGGGTTAGGAGCACATAAGATATAAATAGGGAAATAAAAGCTGAGGAGTCATGCCACTGAGCTTGTAGAGAGTAGTGTGAATGCTTCTGCTACAAGAGTTTTATCTTTTACTGTGTAGTATAAATTCACAACCACTTACTGTACTGTTTGGCAATGCTTTCTATTTTGCAAATAAATGTTTTTGTCATCAATAAGCTAAAAAACTTAAATGTCTATGTGATAAAAAATTAAGTCATGAATTTCCATTTTCCAAGAAAACTGATGAATGTACAACTGACATTTACCGTCTACCACAGGGCTGTTTGATATGACTTAAAAACCAAAAGATATAAATCTGTTGAGCAAACATCAAATGTAGTAATTTTATTCTTAAAATTATTTTAAGAATATTTTGCCTAAAGATTATGATTTCACAATGGTAGGTGCCAAAAGTACTTTTTAGATCACTAGGTGCTATTGCCTGAATGTTTGTGTCCCCTTAAAATCATTGAATCTTAACTCCTAGGGTGATAATATTGGGAAGAGAGGCCTCTGGGAGGTGATTGGGATGGGGTCTCTTATAAAAGAGACCACAGAGAGCCAGCTGGTCCTTTCCACCACGTGAGGACACAGCTAGAAGTTACCATCTGTAAACCAGAAAGTGAGTTCCTCACCAGACACCAAATCCATCCACTTCTTGATCTTGTATTTCCAGCCTCCAGAACTGTGGGAACTTAATTTCTGTTTTTACGAACTACCCATTTATGTATCATATTAGAGCAGCCTGAATAGACTAAAACACTTGGTGAAGCATAAATTTTAACTTAGGTGATCCAATGACTGATGCTCCAAATTAATTTTCCTCCTCTAATCCAGGTTTTATGTATGCGTGTGTGTGTACATGTATAAAAGTGAAGCTCTATCTGCAGGACAGATTCATAAGTTTTAAATGATACCAAATTAATATCAATACAAAATACAAAATCAAGTAAATTGATTCTAACAATGGTTAAGTAGATGGCTTCTTTTTCTACCCATTTTATGAAATCAAACTACAGGCCCCCAAGTTACATACATAGAAGTTACATATGACTCACACTTACAAACAGAGGTTATTACAGGTAATAGTTAAATGTACCATTCCAACTAATTCAACTTAAGTACAAACCTATAGAACCCATTTCATTCATAATCCAGGGACTGCCTGTAAAGCTTTTTGGTAATTAATTTTGTTAAAGGATAAACATCTGATATTGTCATAAATGCTATTATAAATTTAATTAAAAATTCAACATTGAAAATTAATTATTATTGTGATGATAATATGAATTCCAATATTGAAAGGGTACATTATGTAAAAATAATATTTTTTCTAAATGTCTTAGCCTGTTTGTGCTGCTGTAACAGAATATTACAGACTGGGTAACTTATTAAGAACTAAAATTTATTTCTCACAGTTCTGGAGGCCAAGGAGTCTAAGGTCAAGGTAAAAGCATCTGATGTCTGGTGAGGGCCCTCTTGCCATGTTCCTCACATGGCAAAAGGAAGGAGGGTGAACTAGCTGAACAGCTGCACTGCACGAAGATATAAATCCTATTCATGAGGGAGAAACCCTTATAGCCTAATTACTTTTTAAAGGGTCCACCTCTTCATACTCTCACACTGTTAACACCTGAATTTCGCAAGGGACTTTGGAGGGGACACATGAAAACCATAGCAACATGAAATATCTGACATTATAATAATGCTATTAAAGTTCAGTTAAAAAGTTCAGCATTGAAAATTAATTATTTCTGCAGTGATAAGGGAGAATTCAAATATTTATGGAGCATAACATTATGTAAAACCACAAAACAGGATTCTTTCCACACTGAAAAGAAAACCAAATGTACAGAAATGTCCTAGGACATTTGTAGGCCACAAATCATTAATGTGTCCTTCCAAAACTGTGATATTTTGTCATTCAAAATAAATGCTAGGCAGGCACAGAGGCTCATGCCCATAATCTTAGTGCTTTTACAGGCTGGGGTGGAGTCACTTGAGGTCAGGAATTAGAGACCAGCCAGGCACCATAGCAAGACTATATCTCTACAAAATATTTTTTAAAAATCAGCTGGACATGGTGATGTATCCCTGTAGCTACTTGGGAAACTGGGGCTAGAGGATTCCTTGAGCCTAGGAGTTGGAGATTGCAGTGATATATGACTGAACCACTGCATTTCAGCCTGAGTGACAGAATAAGACCCTTTCTCAAAAACAAAAACAAAAAAATTCAGTAAATGGAGCTCCAAAATGCTTTAATTTTGGAAATTTTAGGATGTCAATATTATTGAAAAAAAGGAAAGTTGTAAATAGTGAGACTTTGAAAGATGTCAACGAATTAAATGAGAAGTCCTCAAATGCCATACAAAATACAAATTCTATAACTGTATTTTGAAATATTTCAATTTGTATTGATGGATTGATTATTTCATGAACTATTATTTTTAACTGGAAATGCTTATTGCTGTGTTAGATTAGAAAGAAACTGAAAAGCCTATGATCTTGCAACATTTAAATCTGGTGAAAT